GGGGGGGGGGGGGGGGCACCCCTGGGATGCACAGTAGCTTTCTGGCAGCTGGGCAGTTGTGCTATTTCAGCCTGCTTAATAATATAATAATATTTAATAATTATAATTATTATAATATAATAATAATTATATTATTATAATATGTAATCTTATACAAATGTATAGATTATATTTAACATAATAAATATAATAATTATCTATAATATACATAAAATAATAATAATATAATGATATAACAGCAGTGATGGGGAGGTGAAAGGGGGCTGGGGCTCAGGAGAGGGACTGTATTTCCCTATGGGACCTTGAGCAACACCCTCTGGGGCCAGGGAGGTCTGGACCCAGCTCCTTCTGCACTCAGCTGAGCAAAGGGATGTTTTGGGGGGGGAAATTCAGGCATCTAAATTCCTTCTTGGGAACTTGGTTCCCATGAAATGGAGATGATCACCGCCTGAGCCCTGCTCAGTACCTCTGCTTGTATCCTCAACACCCAAACACACCACACACACATGCTGGTGGTATTTTGAAATTGGTGTGTCTCTGAAAAAATGTGCCTCAGTGCAAGTGGGATGTGACTGTGACTAGGAGATGGTGGGGAATGGCAGCACTCTCTTGGTAGTCTTGAAGTCATCACCATTTCTATTATTTTTATTGCAGATTCAGGTAAAAAGTTCCAGTCCAGCAAACAGTGCAGAGAACTCACCAGTCAACTCAGCAACGGCTTTAAAAAACCGGCCTTTATCTGTCATGGTGACGGGGAAGGGAACAGTCCTACAGAAAGCTAAGGTAATGTGTGAAAAATCCATCTGGGACAGCCACTGCTTTTCCCTTCTGGCAGTGGAGCAGACTGGCTGTAGTGGGACAGGGTTGTGGGGGGTCTTATGTCTGGGAAGTACCCTTGACTGAGCACTACTTGGAGCAGGCCAGCCTGGTTTTCCTCTGGTCTTTTCACCTGGGCTTGCCCTGGCTGCAATTTAAATGAATAAATGTGTGTATTGCTTATAACAGCCAAAAACCTTGGGTACCAGATGATCGGGTTGATCCTGTGCACATTACGGCTACTATGGCTTGGCACATTTGCCTTTTGACTAATTTGCCTTTATTCCTTGGCAGGAATGGGAGAAGAAGGGAGCTAGTTAGAACCGTGTTTTTCAGAGATGGACTAAAGACTGGAATTGCCCATGCATGGCCAAGGGGATTCAATCACTTGTAGGTGGAGGTTGGGTGTGCAACACAACCACACACCAAGTGCCTCCTCCATGTCACGCCAACTGCTCAGATGCAGCAATGGAGTCAACGGCTGCTGATGCGAGTTATCCCAAATGATCTTGCTCTTTCCAGACAAGTCCCAATCACATAGCTAAAACAATAACAACCAGTGGCAATCCTTGCATCAGATTCCTAACCCAGTTGATGTAAACAAGAATGTTACTGTACATAGGGGTGTTTTGTGTATTTCTACTCTGAAGGTTTATCAATGAGTTATTAAGGTTTCTATATTAGTGACAGTAGTGGGTTCAGAAGGGGCCTCTGTTATTCTTTATACCCCAGTGGTTTTCAACCTGTAGTGGCAAATTGCAGTCAACTGAAGTCTCACCTGTCTTGCTGCCAGTCATCGCTCAGCTGCATTTCATCCAGCCTTCAGTCAAGGGCAATAACCATGCCTGAGCAGTGCTTGAGACACAAATGAGAAGCGCACAGCAGCCTGTCCAGGGGATTTTTTAATTCAGTGTCCTGATGCATCCCAGCATGTGCTTACTTCTACCAGGCTGCTGCAGATTTGCCAGAATATTGAGGAAGATCCCTGCTCACCTTCTTGTGCTATAAGCTGTGTTACAGACTGATGTCACCAAGAGCTCTGGGCAGATTCAGTTAACTTTCTTGAAGATCTTTGTCTACTTCACCTGAGGACTTCATTCTGAAAAAAAAAAAAAATCATCATAGTTGAAGGTTTGTTAATAATTTACTGAAGGCCCAGGCCTGCTCAGCTGTTGGATGGGGAAGCTGGATCCCAGTGTATCCTTCAGGGCTTGCCCTTTCCCAGGGGAGGGGAGGTAAAGCTGTCCCTGTGCTCCTGCCCCAGCTGTGAGCACCACTTTGCTGATGCTCTCTGGTCCTCACAGAGCTGCAGCTGTACAATCTGCTGAAGACATCCCTCTGCAAAAGGGGCCCCTCCACAGAGGCAGGGCTGATCTGCTCTCCTCCAGGCCTGGCAGGCAAGGGTGCACTGCCACATCTCTGGTGAGCTGCTGGCCATCTTGGTGCCATCACCCTTATTTTCAAATTATTAAACTTAATATAGCCTTTGGGCCCTGGCAGTGTGGCCCACAGAGCCCACCTGCCTCTCCCCTAGCCAAGCTTTCCAATGAAAGATGTTGGACATTTGGGACCGCTAAATTTAAAAGACATTGAAATTTGAAGGGGGGTAAGGGGAGTTTCAGAAATCCATGCACCCTCTCCTCCCTGTACCCTGCTGTCATGTCTGATGGCCTGGAAGCTCCTCAGCCTGTCTCCTCTGATGGTCCTTCAGCCCTGGAGCCCAGGCTCAGTTGCTGGGTTGGCTGTGCCAGGGCTGCAGCTGTTTTCCAGCTGTGCAAAGCTAAAGCAGCACTGGTACCCTGGCTGGGTTGTTCCTGGGCTCCTGCAGCTACACCGATGAGCAGGACCCAGAGCCAGGGTAAAGACAGACAGGCAAAATGTTGTACCTTCCTAACCCTTGAAATCCTTTGATGGGCCTGAGACCACCTCTGAAGGGGTGTTCCTTCTTCACACAAAGGCCCAACAGCCAGGGAGGAGTGCGGGGCTGTGACACCCAGAGCTAGCAGTGGCACTGGGGTGAGTGAGGATGTGCTGACAAGGGGCTCTGGGGTTGCTTGCCACTGCCATGGAGCCAGAGTGCAACAAAGAGCTTGGTCAGGGTATCCTGGAGGCAAGAAAGGTGACCTCCCTTTTTTTTTTTAATTTGAAAGTCTCTGCTACAGTGCAGATTGAAGAATTGCTAATCCCAGGCCTCAGGAGGAGTACATCAGCCCCAGCTGTCAGGCTTGTCCCTGTGCAAGGTTTGCACATAGGAAAAACTCATGCAAATAAACCACTGAAACACTTCTGGTTCAGGACCCAGGGGACTTTCCTCTCCAAAGCACAGGGAGGCTATGGGCACCGTGAGGCTTTTGTTTTCACCCATGATGAGCTGGCAGGAGAGCCTCTCTACACCCTAAATATGTGTCAAACATGCTCTTACCGTACACACTCTGCTGTCATCCTCCAGGAGTTGTCCAGACATTTCACAGTGGTACTGAGACAGCGATGGATGAGAGCAGCTCTGCTTTCCCCACCACAGCCCAGTCAGCTTCAGTGGTCCCACGGGGCTATCTCCATCAGGGGATGGTAAACATAGGCAAGTCCTGAGCAACACACGTTCCCCAAACAAGAAATGTTAAACAATGTCTCTGCATCCCCATTGTTTTCCTAACTCAAGGCATTTCCTTTGTTGTAACTGTGACCTATAAAGTGGCGCTTTAGAGGGTTTTATAATAAAATGTTGAGTATATTATGTTACCAGTGTTTTTTCTTTGTAATGGGGCTTGTCCCTGCTCTACTTGCCAGTAGATTTAAAGTACATCAAACCCCCAACACTGTTTGTTAGTTACTAGGAAGTTCCTTAGCTATGCACTCTACAACTGCAACAGACTACAGCTTAAAAAATTTAGTCCTCTATAGTGACTGCACCATCTATCAAAAAAAGTTTTGGACAGCTAACCCACTGAAAAATAGCAATAACCCTGAGAATTTGCATGAATGCATCATGAATACATGTAACAGATTCCTACCTGTATCTCCGTAGCACAGTCCTCTTGCACAAAAGCAGCAGAGAAAAATGCATCCACTACCTTCCTCTGGCCACTAGATAGCAACTGTGTGCAATGCTTAGTGCCTGCTGCAGTCACGAAAGGGAAAACCAGGATGGGGTTTAGCTGGAAAGGAATAGAGTTACTAAAGAAAGTGATTGAGGCCAGTCTTTACAGAACAGACACCCAGCCAGACACGTCTGTGAAATATCTTTTGGTGGCTGTACCACTACTCGCTCCACTCCCGCAGAAAGCTTGGGAAGGCACTGTAGCTACAGCACAAAATCCTGGGGAATGTCCTGCTCCCCTGCCTTTCCTAGTCCGCCCATTGACACAAACCTGCCAACAAGCCCATCGGTGTCCTGTCAGCCTCTGAGCCCAGGAATCCCAAAATAATAACTCGATTTGGGATTGCTGTTTTGTGAGCTCAAGGGGCAGCAGCAGTTGCTTTTATCCTTCCTCAGCAGCACTGCCCATCACCTATGGCTGCTTTGTAACACCGCAGCATCAGCTCCGGCTATCCCCAGCACACCTCTGCCTTTTGATCCCCATGGAGCATTGTGGTAGCAAACACAGCTGCCAAGGGGCACAGCTGCACCCAGATTGAAGAACTTGCTCACCCAAGCACCACAAAGCCCTTGTGCCTGACACAAGTCAGTCTCATCCTACAAAATACCACGTTGAAGGATTGGGCCCCAAAACACAGCTGTGTAGGGGAGGCAGAGCTCCTACTGGATATCTAACACACAATTTAATGCTTATTGTTATTGCTTTGTTAGTTATTCCCAGCATAATTCTCACCTGTGCACAATGCAGCCAGGCCACTATGGGGCCTGCAGTGTGTCACAAGCAGAAGCCCATATTCTTCTAGAAGGAAATTTGCTGCTACAAACCATTTTTCTTAGGTATGAGAAACGTGCTGAGTACACTCAGTTCTTGCTTTGGATACAACAGCTACTGGGGCACCCTGCCTAGCACATCAGGAGAGCTAGTGGGCACTTTGATTTCCAAATAAGACACAAGTGCCAGATTTTAAAGGAAAAAACTACTTCTTACTGGTGGAGAAGTTGGCCTAAATGTTTATAGAAGTTGTTTTGGGTATGAATCAAATTACTTCTACTGAAGAGAGTAAGATTGCAGGTGTTTTGCAAGCTGAAGAAGCCAGCTGGCTTTAAGGGGAGCATCAGCAGACCCCATGCCAGTGCTACAGTACCTCCCTCAGGCTGGCCCCGGCTGTTGGTGCCCAGGCAGAGTGGCACAGCAGGGTCCAAAGCCCAGCTCCCTGCCTGCAGCCTTTACAGTACAGGCACCGAACACATATACTCATCACAAAGAGGCATGGTTTTGCTCGCTGAGGGAAGGTAAGACTAAAGAGGGTGAAATTCATGGTACTTACTTAAATCCCAGTTTCTTAAAGGAGAAACAGGCTCTCCCCTGAAGTCAGCACACGGCCCGCGACCAGCCACGGCTCATCCAGCGATCCTACGGAGTGAGAATAATTCACAGCTCCCTTAGTAACGGCAGCCCAGACATCTAATGACAACCTGGCACAGACAGCATCCCCAATCCCAGACAGGATTAGCGCTGGCTTCGCAGGGACCCCACCTCCTTGGTGGCTGTGCCAGCCTCAAACATCAACCCAGCCTTAAGGGAATGAGCTCCCATCAGGTAAGTTCTCATTAAGTATTTCTGATTGAATCAAAGCAAGTCTGTGAGAGTGAATTGAATAAGGGATCATGTCAGAGACCCAAGCCCCTTACTTACTCTCTTTTTAAATTAAGATTTGCAGGAGAAAGGGCCTAGAAATTAGCCAGGATCTTCAACTCAAATTTTTAAAAGGAAAAAGAAAACAGCTCCAACAACTGCTCAACAAGTGTCCTGCTTGCCTGTGGGATCAGCAGGTCTCTCCAAGAGCATCCCATATATCCTGATCTTTGTTATCAGCTTGGCTTTTCCCATCTCCTCCCAATGCCCCAACACCTCCTTACCTTGCAAAGTGCTTTGTCTTGTACAAAAGGAGAGCTGGTGGATGCTGCCACTGCCAGAGCACATCTGAGCAACAATCCAAGGCTTCAGCAATCAGCCACGTTTAGGAGGAAGGTCACAGTCACAGCACACGTAGATCCCTGCCTCACGGGGATCCCTGGGGCATTTTGGGCACTGAGACCTCAGTCAGATGCACACGGAGGGAGGCTAAGGGCTGGGTTTAGGAAGCAGCTTTCCTGAAACTCCTTCACGAGTTTCCAATCTTTCATACCGTCTCTACTTGAGAAACTGATGCACAGGGCTAGATGTATCCCATCCAGCATTAAAATGTTGTCTCCAGCATGAGATTTCACAGTCTGCAATTCCCAAATTCCACAGAGAGGTTTGTCTGTCTGTGCTTAAAACCAGCAGGATGGTACAAACACAGGGTTTGCCCCCCCTTCAGGACCCAGGCAAGCATCTTTTGTCCCAGTCAAGCCCATGCACTCTAAAAATGTACTTACTAGCTGTGCATTAAAACAAAGAGAACTTACAAACAAAGATTACACCAAACCACATTTGCCACGAGGCAAAGTCCTCAGCAGCACTGTACAAACTGTCCTGCAGGCAACAGGGATACAAAGAAAAGGCTTTAAGCACCTGTACAAGGCTAGGAAAGCACATCCCAGCTCCAGAGCTGTGTGCCAGACGAGGTAAATATGCTTCCATTTGAGAGGGAAGACTGATCGTGCAGAGGACAAATGCCTGTGAGGAGTGAACTAACGATGCTGTTAGACCAACTATAGCAGAGAA